TATACCAAATCCTTATCCAAACCAGATATATGTTCATATTTCCAAACAAAACAATCTTTATAGTCTTTTAACAAAATGATTAATTTACTACTAACCTCCTGACTAAGCATTTGGCTGACAAATGTTAGACGATCTTCTCCTTCGTCGCCAATATTTACCCTACTCAAAGGGTCTTGTGCTTGAGCGTGCCCAGGCTTTGTGATCCTCATTACTTCATTGTCCAAGTTCCTCGTAAGCACTTCGTCTTCTAAACAATCCACCTTGTTGACTTCTCGACCAATATTATGCTCCAACTCGAACACTGCTAATTTGTTTTCCAATACTTTTAATGCCGCTTCTTCTTTCGTCTTATCTTTGCATTCTTTATTGAAAGTCATTAACTTGGCTTTGAAGGCCTGAATATCGGCTATTTGTCCTTGTTGCTAACAATTCATTAAAATTTTTTTGATTACCCTTTTGCCAATTACTGGCTCTTCAAGGGCCACTATGTTTGGCCTCATTTGACTGAACATTTCAGTAAGTGCATCTACAAAAAATGGCTCTTCATTCTGTGCGACAATTTGACTTTATTCTCCATCTTGAACCACCATGACATGTCCATAGTTTCATTTATACATGAACATTTCCACTGAGTTTGCTTATGTGACAAAGGGTTTATGATCTGCTTGCACCACTTCTGCTTCGCCCTTGTCATTCCAAAAAACCAGACATTGATGCAGCGTTGAAGGTATGCAACGACTTCCGTGAATCCAGTCCTTTCCCAGTAGCACATTGTAACTAGTAGGACCATCTATTATAAAGAAGACTGTGGTCCTAGTAGTTGTTCTCACGGTTATGTCCAATGGCATCACTCCTTTAACCGAAGTTGCTCCCCCATTGAAACTTGTGGGAATAACTTCTGTTCCTTTGCAAATTTTCTCATCATCCTGAACGGGATGGTATTTATGGCTGCTCCATTATCAATGAGCACTTTCGCTATAAGTATACCATTGACTAAGGCGTTTACGTACAATGGCCTCAAATGTTTAGTTAATTTCATGGCTGGTCTCTTGAAGATGACCTTTTCAGCTGCATCTATTTCCACTTCCTGTTTGTCTTCTGTTGAATTATTTCCTTGTAATAAATCAACATGCAATATTTTGCACTGAGCTTCTGTTTCCTGGATTTCCTTTTTACCTTCTCCTAGTGTTTCTTCTTCGGTTATCCATCTTGTAGGGGGATGCAATATCCTTGGAGGCAACCCATACTTCTCAGAGCGAGACATTCTCCTCTTCCTTTTGGGTTTCCCGTACGACACATAATAGTTAAAGGAACGCCCAGATGGTTCTCTCAACAGATCCACCTCGCGAATACCTCCCCGATGTAGCTGTTTCAACAACGTATTGCGCGACACTCCGCTATTTCTTCTCTCTACTTCCAAGTCAATTTCTTCTTCGATGTCCGTCATACCATCATCCTCTTCTTTATCAAATGTCCCTGAGATGTTTGTCCCTCTTCACATTCCAGCACACATGCTTCCTCCTCGTTATCCTTCCTTTCCTCATATTCATTCTCTTTGTTTTTGAATTCATTGGCTAAAAAATAGTTATTAGTCATGACAGAAGGTAACGTACTGAACTGAATAGTGAGGGGTTGCTCTGGATCTTTTTCATCTTCTCTCCCTCGCTCAAACTTGGATCTCCTAGAAGAACTTTCTGGTAATTCGTCCATTGATTCGCCTGTACCAGTCTCTTTACTATCCTTGAGAACATTTTGATTAGCCACTTAGAGGATTAGGCGCCTTAGGACGTGGCAATCCTTGTTGTTGCCTCATCATTCGTCCATAATTCCGTTGAAAACGTGTTTGTTGAGTTTTAGTCATCTCATTGAAATGTATCGCCTTTCCTGCATTATACTTGAATGAATGTCATACATTTGGTTGGCGAGGTTGCGGCTTGAATGTCCTCCCCATTATTTATTGGCCCAAACTGCCTCTATGGAATGATGTACATCGCCCTCCAATAGGTGAGACAAAATCAAGGCGATGGTAGTGTTGCCATATTCCTGGTTTCTCTGTGTTTGCACTCACTTCTCATTTGCATCTTGCACACAGGATGCCTCCGTCCTCTCCAGGCTCCTTCCATTTGGCACGTTCAAAAACACTGGGATGTGGCCTAGAATATTCTTCTCCATCGTCTATAACCAATTTGAATCTTGTCAACTTGTTTTTGAAATCAGTCGTCACCATGTTCACCCCAAGTGCCTGTGGGAAAGGATGTTCATCCACTACCATTTTCTTCTTATCTTCGAACGTGATTCGCCCTGACTCGATAGCATCCTGTAACACATGTCGAAAGACCAAGCAATTGTTAGTCATATGTGACCATGCATTATGCAATTTACAATATTTTTACCCTTAATTTGCTCAGGATCTGGCAATTTATGCTTATCGCTCAATTTTATCTGCTTATCCTTATACAGTTTGTCAAATATAAGGTCAGATTTGGTCACATCAAATGAAAATGCTCTAGCTTTTTTTTTTCCCATCTTTTATAGACTCATTCTTACCCGATGCTCTGGGTTTGGCCATTGTAGGACAGTCATACGCATCTCCTATAATTAATTTGGTCAAACATACTTCAGTTTGATCGTAATATTCGTCGTTAATAGTATGAACGTCAAAGTTTGGGTCTCTATAATAAGTCCATTTACTAGAGTTTTTCATTTGTTCTTCTTCTCTTATCAATCGTTCATATCTAATCACCTTTGCGCTAAGTTGGAAAAGATCAGGAAATTCCCTGTTCTGGAATTTCTTTTTCAAATCAAAGCTCAAACAATTTTGAGCGATTTTGACAAATTCTTTCTCGAGCAGAAGTACAAAACATTTGCTCCTGGCTGTTTTAAACCTCTAAAGGAAACCTTCTGCCCATTCGTTAGGCATTTGACGTAAATTCGCCAAATCGGTCAAAGCGACTTCAGATTTATTCTTATAAAACTGAGTGTGGAATAATTGTTCCAGTTGTTGCCATGTTTGAACAGAGTTTGTTGGCAAATTAATGAACCAGGAGAAAGTTACTCCCGTTAACGAACTAGAGAACAACCTCATTTTGTGATAGTTAGTTACTTCATCACTTTGCAGTGTGAATTGCCCTATATGTTCCAGAGTAGACACTTTTCCTAGACCAGTGAATAATAAAAATTCTGGTACACCTTTAGGCCACCGATATATCTGATCTACCCAATCATGATATGATTTTGTGTAAGTAGGCCTAATAACATGACGAACCCCAAAAGCCATTTGATCCTGTACTATTTCCATAATTTGATTCCTCAACATGACATTGAGATCATATGGAACTCCTACAGGTTGGTTCATTGGTTGATTTACTCGAGGTCAAATATTTGGTCATTGGTTGGTGATAAAATTGCCATTGTTTAGGCCATTATTACTGTTAGCCTGAGTATTTACTCATCATTAACACGTGGGGTGTTCTGTCCATTATTTAGGACATTATCTCTTATATTTGAATTACCCATAAGGTTCGACGTCTCATTACCACCATTCAAGTTTGGCACTACACCACCCACCTGATTTGAAGTAGATGGACCGAAAGGTGGTTCTTTTCATTGACTTGGGTTCAAACCTGAGGAATTATGTCTCACAATTGTCTTAGTTTAAAAGCGATTCCCTATTGGTACAACTGGTTGACATATTCGGCCTACTAACTTATTCATGATCTCATTCAATGTGTTTAGTTGTTTGACCATATTATCATACTGTGTATTCCTATTTTGGGTAAATCTTTCCATATTGTGAATATTTCGTAAATTTACCTGTTCAACGACATCTTATGTGAGTTTCCCAAGCAATGCGCGCATGATTCGAGGACTCAATTCTGTTATTGGTTCGTAGCGACTTTGACTGCTTTGACTTTGTCCCTTTGTTCGTGGAAAGCTTTGCTACTCCTTATATTACTCGATCACAGACTGGACTACTCCTTGACTTGCTAATTCTTTATCAGAATTCTTATGAGACATAATTCTTCACTTTTCGTATCCTCAAACACCAATGTCCCATTTTAACAATTGACCCTCATTTAATCATTGTGCCTCATTTAATTGGACCTTATTTTTGTATGTCAACAAAATCCGTGCAATCATTAAACTTTAATTTGTTTCAATTGGATTACTAAACTTTCAATTGAACATTACTAACGAGTTTTATATAAATTTTCCGTGCGGTCATCGATCTTTAATTTGCCTCAATTGAATTACTAAACTTCAAGTTTAATTTCATTTTCTCTCCACCATCACCCAAATTACTTAATTTACAATCACGCCTTATCGAATCATCCATTAATTGTTGCATGACGAACCAATTTTATCATTACATCACGTCGTAAATATATCTTTTAATATTTTAATTTAAAGATATTATCATAATTTATTTTAACATTTTCGTTTTTGTAGAGTACCACGTAACTATTATGTGGAAGAAATTTGAATTATCTTTGAAAAAATGTTTTGTTTTCTCCATGGTTACTATTGGTTCGTGTTAAGCACGCATACAAGTGGGTAAGTGTTCCAGACAGTCATCAATTGCCCGAAATCAAGGCGCCGGTGTCTACACCGGCAATAAAGCTCCCCCACCACACCTCCCTGTTTCTGCTAATCCTTCACTTTGTTTTTACTTTCCCAAGATCCATCTTCCTTTTCACACTCTTTCTCTCAATCTCTGCGCCTACTTACATTTGCTCTACATTACTTTCCACTGTTAGATCTCTGCTGCATTTCGTTGATATACTGAATGCGCACTGAAAGTTTGAAACCACCCGCATCGTTGAATTTTGAGTTAGGGTTTATTTCCTGGTTGGCCGTACTCCATTGCCTATTTAGTACAGTTTTTAAATTTTCATGGTGGACGGTTTTGTCCGCAGACGGAGCTTCACCGGAACCCCAGACAACTAGCTTAACGGAGTTTTGTAATGAGTACAATGTGAATTGGTTTTGGGGGAGAGAAAATGCTTATTTTTCTCCTCTATCTGCTACCTCTGCTTCCAGTTAGTTTCGGTAATGAGTTTTCCGTTTTTGGTTGTATGTGTATTCGAAAAACTAAGAATATTAAGGAAAAGAATAAAAGTGATGTCCTTTTTATTTGAAATAAAGAAGGAATCATGATCACTCAGGAACAAATTCAAAGTAATTTCACCTACTTTTCCATCGGGAATTAAATGTCGGAAATTTTATGTTCTTTTTGTACATCTTTTTCCTTTTCAACAATTGAAGAAGGAACCCTCTTAAGAATGATAATCCAGCAGTATAATTGTTTACTGAAGTTGAAAACGTGGAATATCTAACAGTTGTTGCGTCATATCCTACTTCTATATTGTTTCTTGTACATTATAATTAATGAGAATATTTAATTTCCATAGAGAAAAACGTATATGCACACAGTTTCTCTTATCTTGTTTGAGTTTGGAGTGCTTAGCGTATTCTTGGAAAAGAAGCACTGTTCAATTTGAGTGCATGGAGTAAAGTTAAATCTGTTTTGAATTCTTTTCCATAGGTACTTGCATTCGTGCACTTTACACCTTTGTAAGTTATTTGAGTTATTAAGCGCTCACAGCTGTCGTGATTTCTGAGTAAATAATCTAGTCATATTATAATTAAATATGCTGTGATGTATGACCAGAGCAGTTTGTACGGTGGATATACTAATTTCAAACTTGGACACGATTAGTCAAAGAGCGTGGATGCTATTTGTGGTTATCTTATCCTTTCATGTGCAATGAAAGTTATATAATTCCTTAAGGTCTGGTCACAGTCTCACAGAACGTTTTTGTAATAATTTTCCTTGTCAATTTTGCATTCATGGTAAAATCTTGGTTTATTTAATCATCAACAACTCCCAAGCACCCAATTTTCTGTAATATCAATAGAAATATAATAACAAGAATGGACCAAGGGAATATATTGCTAATAGATCAACCTAAAGCTAAAGAATTTCAATCTTATACAGGAATTCAAATTAATGGACTACAACATTCATTTTCTGTTGAGATTATTTTTATTGAATTCCTAGTTTTAATTCTTAAGTTCGTTCTCATCTGTACTTCGAATGTTGATAAACCAAGTTTTCTACTTCCTCAGGGATTCCCTTGCAGCACATCTACTTGTCTCCATCTCAATTGCCAAGCCTAGCATCCATTGCAAGGAAAACTTCTCTAGAGCGTGGTAAATTAGCACTCTGTAATTTCTTTTCAATTACAATAGCAGCTGATTTCCCCCTTCCAATGTTACGCTTCATCACTTATAATGTATTATGTTGGTTTTCCTTGGACTGGATTGCGCTGTAAATGGTTGTTGGAAACTGTATCATCTTCTTCTGAAAGAAAATTATGATTGCACAGAGCTGTGCACTTGAACTATTAATGATTTACACTTTATCTTCTTTGTTTTCTTTTGATTTTTAATAAAATTACAACCAATGTCTTTTTGCTACTATATGTAGAGATTATTAACAAAAAAAATTATCCTACTTTTCCAGTGAGCTTAATATCCATTAGTGTATCATTGGATCAATTTAAAGCCCTGCATAGACGGCATTTTAAACTTTCTTTGATTTCACTGAACGCGCCTTCTCCTTCTCCAGCATCTCTAGGTATTAAAGACATTTATATTCTTTCCTACTTATTTTATATCTTTTAGCCTTTTACTGATATGGCACCTTTGGATAAAAGGCCCAGTTGCGGCTCCTATTGGTCGTACTCGATCAAGGCGTCACCACCGCCATCGGGTGAGAACTCATGTGATTTCTCCATCTCCATCGGCTGTAGCAGGTATCTATTCAGCTATCAATCTCTCTCTCCTTGTAATTATAGTGACCGTATGTGAGTACTTGGGTTTGCATCTGTCTGATGGTTCGAGAGTAGCTTCAAATATTATGTGTTCCCAAGGAGAGACTGTCGCCACCATCTCTTGGTCAGAGCCGCATCTGTAGTTGAAACTACTAAAGAAACCAGAGGAAAACAAAAAGAAGAGCATAGTACATATGATTGATGGAAGAGAACTTCAGATGAAATGTAAATGCTTATTCACATCTTGCTGGGATGGAAGTTATTGGTCTATGGTGTGAAATTCTCTCTTGTCAATCTGACGAAACTATATTAGATTATCTATGACCTGCTTGGAGGGATTCTTTTCCCCTTAAATGATTGTGTTACGTTGTTCAATACAATAAGAGGCTAGCGTCTTCGAATTTCCCTTTACCTATTTCTGCTTTGATATGAAAATAGAGAGTAAATGGATGAGTTCTATATTCTCTAGTGTCGAATAGAATACCCAAGCTAAACTAGTAGAGCCATGTAGGTAATTAAATTGTATTAAAGTGAATTAGTTGGATCCTATTATTAAGCTGAAATTGTATGCTGCCTGTTAGAATCTTTATTGGCCACAGGTACTGGTTTGTTAGATATGGTGCAAACAATCCTCCTTGGTGGCGATGTATAAAGCTTGGTAGTTCAGCCAACCCTGCCTTTCTATCTCCTGGGTTGTTTCTTGCACTTCATCTTCTTCTTCTTCATAAAATCCTTCATATAGCAGGCGTGTAAAACTAGTCTTTCTCACTTATCTTAGGATGTGAGGGGATGGCATTGAGTAGTAGCAGACATGCTTGAGTGCTGGTATATACCTTGTCCAAAAAGAAAATACATTCAAATTAGTTGAAAAAGCTTTTCTGTTGTTGGATAAAGAAATTCATGAACAAATCCCGAAAAATAGTGTGCCTGTAATGGGTTAACTCTCACATGGAGTTCATTATAAGCACAAGAATTTACAGTTCAGAGCTGAGTGGAAAGTCAACTATTCTCGTGATTGTCTTTATCTAAAAAGAAATCGAAAGAATGTTGATGATGGACACTCATAAAAAGAACTAGAATTGTGGAAGAAGGGGAAAGGGAAGAGAAGAAGAAGAGAAAAGAGAAATAAAAGGAAGAAGAGAAGAAGAGGGAAACAAAGGGGGGAAAATAGAGAGAGAGGAGAGAAAATCAGTTTATTCAATAATCAGTAGTTTAACTAACAACACTTACGATCAAAATGTAGTTTTTATCCCCCATATATTGTAGGATCCACTCATTATCCATACATTCTGACCCACAACTTATAATCATTCAAATTTTTAATTTAACTACTTCTGAATTATGCACTTAGGCAGTTCATTAACACTGTTTATAAAAGGGTTTTAGTTAGTCTACTTTCTGAAGAAACCAATCAAGGAAATAAAATCTGAATTGAGTCAAAATAGAAATTACTGTAAACTGATATAGAAGTAATTAAACTTGGCACGGCTTCAATATCCTAACTTCCAACTCTCATATTCTTTCTGATCACTTTTGTGCTTGAACTCCTCTATCACTTAAAAGGCTATGGCTGGTCGTGATGACTCAGCAGCTGGCAATGCTAACTTTGAACCATTTTATTCTTTCTCTTCACTTTTGTACTTGGGACTCCTCTTTCTTACCCAAGGCTATTGGTTTTGATGATCTTGCAGTCAGTAGCTCATATATTTAAGGATCTCTATCAAATATGAGTTACAAATTAGTTTGTATTGTCACGTTTGGTCTTAATCCTCAACAAATGTCATTGTATATAGTTTTGGCTGAAATATCTTAAATGAGAATCCATGGGCCTGGTACAGTCGATATAGCTTTCTGTGTATATAGAACCCTTGGTCTGCTCTTGGTTATGGCCAACACCGGACCCATTATTCTGTAGTAATATTCATTATGATCTCTGAATGGTTTTCTGCATATGGATTCTAGGATATTTTCCCTTCTTTTAATTGCTTAGTCCTATCTGCACAGTACACTAACCATTTTTTTGCTGCATTGCATTGCCTATTAAGGTAGCATTGACCTCCTTGTAGTGCCTCAATTAGCACACGCTCAATGTCAAAGTCTTATTCTGCCTGCCGCTGTTTTTAACTTGTTAAATACTGTATTGAAAAAAAATTTGTGATTAAATCCGGCAGGTTGTGGTCACACTTGTGCTGAGCCTCTCACTTCAGCTCCCATCGGTTCAACTTGTGGCTGTGTGCTTCCAATGAAAGTCAGACTTCTTCTAGATGTAGCACTTTATTCTATCTTTCCGGAGGTTAATGAATTAGAAATTGAAATTGCAGCAGGCACCTATCTCAAACAAAGTCAAGTGGCCATAATTGGTGCGACTGCAGATAGTCAAAATCAGGGAAGATCAGTGGTTGACATTAACCTGGTGCCACTGGGGGAAAAATTTGATAACACAACTGCTATCCTGACTTATGAGAGGCTTTGGCAAAAGAAAGTGCCTCTGAATAGGACCCTTTTTGGTGATTATGAATTAGTATACATTACTTACCCAGGTAAAATCTGAACTCTGATTAGTACGTGGTTCAGTTTACGTGTTTTTGCTTTTATAGAGCCTGAAAAATTGATTATCAGGGCTCCCTTCATCTTCATCTGGTACTTTTGGTGATGGTCCAAGTGGAAGTGCTGGAAATCAGCAATACCCTATCAGCACATATTTTGCTGACAAGAATCAGAAAATGAACCCTCAAATGATTTTTGTCATTGCTCTTTCAGCATTTGTACTCTTGGTAGTTTGCTGTGTGGCAGTTGTGATACTCATAAAGTGCAGGAGGTCTAGCAGACCATTCAATGCTGTTGGTCCAATGTTTCCACTATCGACAAACAAGAGATATGGTAAGTCTGCAATTTACTCTTAGCTTTAAATTGTTTAGTGATGAACAAATGTGGGGACAGTTTTTGAACACATTGGCATGCAGAGGCTGAAATGACCATTTATAAGAAAATGTATTTTTCTCTAAAGATAATCTTGATAACAATATTTAAATGATATACACGTGGTCCTATCTAATAACATAAGCTTTTTAATCAAGTGGTTCAACATGGTATCAAGTTGTGAGTTTGAGTCTTACTGCCGCCCATATATGAAATTGTGCTCGCGTCAAGCTTTAATGGAAAAATATGAACATCACTCGCACGTGGGGTGGCTTGTTGAAGACAATGTCTAAATGATAAACATGTGATCCTCTTTAATCACTAATGCTTTTAGGATAAAATGTCATGAGAAGATTTTGTGGATTGCAGGTATGAAGATTTTTTTTTGGGTAAAAAGAAGGCTGGGAAAGTGTTAATTAATTTATTTAGCATTGTTGTTACTATTTTTCTTTTTCTGGGAAGGGGGTGGGGGTGGAAGATGTATGCATGACTTTTAGTTTCTTTCAGTAATTATTTGAATGTGTTTTGGGCGAGGAGTCATGTTATTAATAATATTATTATGATGACCAACCTTCCTTTGTTTTTCTTATTCACGAAGCTTGTGAAATATGGGATAATGAACAAATTTTGAAAAGAACCAGTCAATTTACATGCTTTATGGTTGTTGTGTGTTGACGTTCTTAACTTGTCCTTTGATTTCTCATCTGACATGGGTGTCTAACCTATATGTGAATATCCCTGGATTTTTATGGAAATTTGTCTATTGCCTCAACCGTTTAGAGATTATAAACTCACTTGATATCTTTACTCCTGTTTCTGTGTTGCCAGGGACTGGATCTATATTCTCAAGTAGCCCAAGCAACTCTATATCGGCATCTCTTGTTGCGACCATGCCTGCTTCATTTCTTTCTGTTAAAACATTTACACTTGTAGAGCTCGAGAAAGCTACGGATAAGTTTAGTTCAAAAAGAGTTTTGGGTGAAGGGGGGTTTGGACGTGTTTATCATGGGATCATGGGAGATGGAACTGAAGTTGCTGTTAAGTTGCTTACCAGGGAAAATCAAAATGGAGATCAAGAATTTATTGCTGAAGTTGAGATGCTAAGCCGATTGCATCACCGTAACCTTGTAAAGCTAGTTGGTATATGCATTGAAGAACGTCCACACTGCTTGGTCTATGAGCTAGTTCCAAATGGCAGTGTGGAGTCCCACTTACACGGTATGCTTCTCATTTCCACCAAATTTATGAGTTCGAACTTATAGATATTGGTGTGATGTCTCTGAATATATTCCTTCACGAGAGTTCAAAAGGGATAAGGGCACGATAATTTGTATGTATAATCATTCTTAATCCTATCTCTGTCTCAGACTAACATTGCAAAAACACCTCTTCTGCAGGTAAGGATGTACGTGCTGATTTTTATCTGACCTTTTTGTGAATAAATCGAGTTACTTGTGTCTCAGGTGAAGACAAGAAGAAAGTGCCTCTTGACTGGGATGCACGGTTGAAGATTGCTCTTGGTGCGGCAAGAGGATTGGCTTATCTTCATGAAGATTCTAATCCTCGTGTAATTCATCGGGACTTCAAAGCCAGTAATGTTTTGTTAGAACACGACTTCACCCCCAAGGTTTCAGATTTTGGTTTGGCTAGGGAAGCAACAGAAGGAAGTCATCATATTTCTACTAGAGTCATGGGAACATTTGGGTAAGTTTCTTTCCGCCGCAGAAAATTGTATGAAAACTGGTTTTCTCATATTACTGCTATAATTGGACTATAGAAGCTCGAGGAAGATGCAATTCTGATTAATATTTGTTTGGTTTGGAAATAATCAATCCTCTTTAGAACATTGCTAGGTTAACAGTTTAAAAAATAAAAAATGATTGCACAATATTTATCCAATTAACACTTGAAGATACAGGCACTATACCGAGAATTTGCATCTTGAGAAATCACATGTTTTTTTGCTTACCCATCAAAGTTGTGTTCCATAAAATCAAAATATCAATTTGGCATAACATCGTAGTTTGGTTAGAAATAGAATGTTCATTTAACTGAACGTCACCAAATGTATAATGTAATTCAATCAGCTAAAATAATGCAAACCATACAGATTTCATGTCTTAGGGCCGTCATGAATAACGATTCTTTCCCTTTCCTTTTTCATGGTTTGATCTTCCCTTCTGTTCATTTCCTGAAAGTTCAGCTTATGAATTCTGAATCCACAACATCTTTGTCTTCTGCCGTGCTTGCTACTTCAACTACAACTATTATATTTTGGAAAAGAGCAGTTTGTGACAGCTATCTAAATTGTGGAATGCAGGTATGTTGCACCTGAGTATGCAATGACAGGACATCTACTTGTCAAAAGTGATGTTTATAGTTACGGGGTTGTTCTATTAGAGCTTCTATCTGGAAGAAAACCCGTGGACATGTCTCAAACCCCCGGACAAGAAAACCTTGTGATTTGGGCACGATCTCTGCTGACTAGTCGAGAAGGCTTGGAGCAGTTAGTGGATCCTTCCTTGGCTGGAACTTATGATTTCAACGACATGGCAAAGGTGGCAACCATTGCTTCTATATGTGTTCACCCAGAGGTGACAAATAGACCTTTCATGGGAGAAGTGGTTCAGGCACTAGAACTCATCTATAACGACACAGATGAGACTTGTGGGGATGCTTATAGTCCGAAAGAGTCTTCTGCTCGAGAATCTGACTTCAAATACGAGTTTCCCCATTCTGACAGTATTTGGTGGAATGCTGGTGGGATTACCCCACGGTTGACATTTGGGCAAGCCTCTCCTTTCATAACAATGGATTACAGTTCAGGCCCTCTAGAAGAATTTGAAAACAGACCATTTTCAGCATCAGGGTTCGTCGAGGGTGGGGTTGCCTTTCCTACAAGGCACGGTAATAGTTCAGGTCCTTTAAGGACAATTCGGAGTAAACGAGCTTTTTATAGATTACGGGGGAGTATGAGTGAACACGGTGTCCTATCTAGATGTGCTTGGAATGATGGCACTGGATACGAAGCTTCCTTTTAGATTGATTAAAATGTACAGTTTTGAGGACTTTTTTATTCATAAAGTTCTTTCAAATGTAGCTTTAGGCGGCTGAAATTGGCTCAATTTCCTTACGTCGAGGTGGTCTATTTGTATGCTACGTATTAGTTTTTTGCAGGTTCAGTATTTGATGAACAAGCAACTCTTTCACTTTTGATTGGACAGGAGTCTCCATATCTATGCTAGCTTGAGCTTCTTTGAAAAAATGTTTTATGGATCTATAGGGAGCCCAGTATCTGGACCGGACCAATATTGGGTTGGGCCCTTTTTAATACTCTAATGCAACACGTGAACTTCCCGTCAATTATGGCGATGATAGAGACATTGTCCGCACGTAATGCGTTAGAATTGACGGCCACGATTGAACCGAATGGAGTTCCTGATTTTATGCCGTTGATCTGATAACGACACTTTTGTCGCACGTCCTCGAATGATTCCACATAAATTCTATTACCATATGAAGCTCATCTATGACAGCACGCGCATTTTCTCACGCGTGGCCTCACCATGCCTCCCATTTTTAATTTTTTCCTTTTTGTTATTAAAAAATATATGGATGCACTTTTCTTTCTTTTTTGTTATTAAAAATCTAATTTGCATCGATACATGAAAAAATCGTCTAAATTATAGTTATTTTAAACGTTAAAATGTAGGCGACAATCAGTTGAATTGGAAATAAATGTCAAATGGCCTTACATTTTGTCTATAGTCGTGAGTCGCATTAAAGTAACACATATCTTAATATTCCACATAAACTAACCCTGAGAGGTTGCTTAATTGGTCAGACTTGAGTCTGCTTCCCAGTAATCATCAGTTCGAGTCCTCTCAGGGCAATTGAGGTGAGTACCCGACCGTAAATTTCAGGATCCAGCGGAATTAATCGAGCAGCGCACAAGTTGGCTCGAACATCAAAGGTTATATATATATATATATATATATNATATCACACAATGTCAAAAATTTGTCTACCATCGATGTGCACCAAGCACAACTGATAAATGATTGCCACTATTTCCATCTGATTCTGACTCTTCTGATTAAACTGGCTATTAATTATCTTTAATTTGAAATTAATAAATCTGCAATCACACTCAATTACCGAGAATACCGTTCCTCAATATATAAAATAACAGATATCACAACTCATGAACACAAATTTGCCTGGTCATGCCTTGTAACATATAAATTTATTTTATTTTCTTGTCAAATATTCTATAGGACTCGATAAGTTATCTATTGAATGAAGCATCGAGCTTATGCTTTTCCTTAGGATTTCACCTTTTAGGCTAGCACCTAGTTCGATTAGTTCAAACGAATTAAAAATTCGATAACCAAATCAAGAGATTATCATTACTCCAAAATCATATTACTTTCCGACTAGTTCCTCATTCCGACACTCATATTCTTAACTTATGACCACTTCTTTCGCCGACTTTTATAGATTTTGCTAAAACTTTAATAAAAAGCAACGTCAAACAACCCTAAGTGTATGGTTGGACATTTTCCAATTTCATCATAGATTGCAAATAGAAAAATATGATTGGACATTTTCCAAATTTCGTCATGGATTGCAAATGGAAAATGTCCCACTCGACAGACTTTTAGAACGTTAAACTTTAGAATATACAGTCCAATAATGATAGTTCACTCCATAGGCAGCAAGACGATAATTCGGTAAAATTGAAAAAGATCAAAAGAAAGGGGAAAATGTCAAAATGATAATTGCCATTAATTTCAAACATTGTTGGATTTTTGCGGAGACTTTGAAATGAAATCATTTCATCGAGACATAACATCGTGACACTGAGCCCCTGTTTGACATTCCTTTTCTTCTCATTCTCATTTTTTTCTGATTCTTCATTTCAACAACACATTCTATCAGTAAAATAATATTACGCATAAACCCAAAAATTGTGATTGCTTTTTAACCACACATTCTTCCATCAATCACTATTTAAGAATTCATTTTTTCTTCAAAATGGGTGTCAAACAGAGTCTGAATATATAAGTAAGTCAATATTATTTACGTGAAAATGAAATCAATAAATTTCAAAGATTTTGGAAACGTTTTCATGCTTTTTACATGAATGAGCTAACATGGTTAGGCGAAGGATCACAATTTTATTGTTGTTTGCTCCAAGGTTAGTTGAAAGCTTGTTACATCTTGGAATTTTGAGAAGCATCATGTTGCATTAGATGCAGCGGAATATATACGATAAATAATCCACACTTTAGATATATTCATTCAATCGATTAAATTCTGAGGGTGTTTGATGAGAATTAAAATTAGATTTTTAGTAGATTGTGATATAAATTTTTGAAATGTGTGGTTAAAATGTTGTGGGACCCATGAAAAATGTGATTAATATTAATTGTCTGACTTTAACTTGGATTAAAAACAGATTTTAATTCAAACCAAACATGGGCTCTATCTATCCAAAAAGTCAAAAGTATTTTCGACATGATTATTTTGATCCCTCCAATTTACCTCCAAACATCTTTTCCAAATTAGAACCTTTTCGTGGACCACAACAAATCATCGCATAAAAAAATAAAAAAAAACAGTTGTAAATAAGTCCTTGTTTGGTGCACATTTTTACTTCAATAATGCATTTTTTTGATTGATGTGATGGGAAATATGTGATTGAAAAAGAAAAAAGATAATTGATGTGATGAAAATATTATTTTATGGAAAAATGTGTGATTGAAAATGAGTAAAAGAATAATAATGAAAAAAATTAATGTGGTTCAAATGTAGGCCGAGAGAGGGGGATAAAAAGGTTGTAACCGCGTTAGCATTTCAAAAGGGTGGGACCCAGTTACAATGATGTCCGTGTATTATCTTTTACATGTCTGAACCCTACGATTGCGAAGTTTGCCACTTATTGCAATATCGCGGATATAGGAGGGGCATTTATGGAATTCAGTTGCATTTAACCAACGATTTACTTGCAACAGCAAAAGACCTCACGAAGAAAACATAAAACCTTTGCATTTTCCCAAGCAAAATTGGGGTTTTGAATTTTTAATCTCTCTCTCTCTCTCTCTCATTCATTTTTTTTTTCCATTTGTTTATTAATCTGCAATATTTCTCCGATTTTCGATTTTGTTTTTCTACTTTTCAACGAAAAATTGGATCTGTGTGAAAAAAAAGTATATCAAATCTTATTCTGCTGTCAGATCTTTTCCATATTTTCTGGATATTGAAGAAAATAAGAAGTTGGTTGTAGACCAGGAGAAGTGTAGTTCATTGGAGTTTTGTTGTTTAAAATATTGATTTCGAGTGAATACTGGATTGGATTTTTCAATTTTTTGTGCAAGTGCCGTTGATTCTCTTGATCTGGTTTTGTTTAAATTGCTCTCTTGCTTCCTGATCTGATTGGAGCCATCCAAATATGGTATGTCTTGTCTTCCTTTATATTTTTATTTGTTGATTGTTTGGTCTTGGTTGATTCCTAGAATGTGCTGTTATTTTGTCTTAATTTATTGAATTGCGTGTGAATATTAGTAATTTGCTTAAGTTGATCAACAGTATGTTACTAGATTTCGGCATGATTTTCCTATATTTCTAGACTAATGTTGGAGGTTATACATCTTGATTTACTTTATATGCATGCAATCTTTCACTACCAATTTGAAGTTACTGGCGTACATTTTCTCTCTAATCAATTGAATGAGGAATTAAAATAATATGAATTGGTGAATTGTTGTTGGTGGGGAGGCTCTGCACCTTGGTAGCTGCATTAACAGGTTTGACTTCAATTGAAGATATCAATAGTATTTTGTCATATATCAAAGCAAAACACTTCATTGTGTATCCAATTATCAACTTTTTTGATCATTTGACAGAGTTCAACATAAATAACTTGTGAAGTTTTTCTCAACATTTTTTGGACCATTGGTTGCAATACATGAATTTTAGAAGTCCTGGTGTCTCTTTGGTGCAATAGATGAAAGTTTTGGTTTCTAAAGTTTGCTGTCACTGGTTGAAAATATGTTTAGTCAGTTAACAAAAATATTTTGCCATTTTAGCACACATAAAGGACGAAAATGAAGAATAATTGACATTCTGTTACTGTCTTTCTTCCACTTAATCAATCAACAAAACTAAAGCAACAGAAACAACACTAAATTTGTGATCCCTTCATTATTTTTGGACTTTTCTATTGACCAGCTTTCTTGTTTCTAAAGTCTGCCAGAGAATACCGGAATGTCTATCACCAGTAGCACTTTCGGCTATGAATAATCCTTAAAGTAAATGATATAATAACTACCTGTTAGAAGGTGATTCAATGGGATAGATTCCATAAAAGTTGATACCAGTAAAAGGCCATCATTGAAATTTCATCCTTGCATGATCCGATACATTGCACTAAGGGCATCTCTAGAGTATGCCGAATCAATATAGTATCCTTTTTTTTTTTTTTGACACACATTCGAATCTATTTGGCACTAGAATGCCTTTATTAGGATGCAACTGTATAAAGTAGTAGTGTGCTAAGCAAATGAAAGCAAAATACGCTCATACAAATTTGGCCTACTTTGTTTGATGGCTTGGGTTTATAATCCATGTCCATTGCGGTCCTTGGTTCCAATGTTTTAACTGGAACTGACTCTCTCATGTTTTGAAGAAGTCAGCCAGGGTTTCTCACTTAATTTTCCGCAAGCTGAAGATATCTGCAATGAGCAAAGAATGGAGTTTCTGGACATTGTTATTAATTCTCTGTAACATGATTTTTTGTAGGTTGCTTCAGTCAGTTTAGGAGTGGGTTCTCTTGCATGGGTGGAGGATCCAAATGAAGCATGGATAGATGGGGAGGTTGTTGCTGTGAATGGTGAAGATATTAAGGTCCATTGTGCATCAGGAAAAACGGTGTGTAATTTTTACATCCTTTTAAGTTATTTTTATTGGATTAAGTTTTTCTTGCTTAAATTGGAGGGTTTACAAATTTACTAATTTATCCTCCTTGTATATTTTTGTC